GGGAGAGAGGGAATGAGAGAGGAAAGGAAAGACATCTTGACAAGGGCAGAGAAAAATGCATAAAAGCCCTTGGGGAAGGAAGGCCAGAGCTCGGGGGATAGGGAGAAAGCTGAGACCCCACTAGAGGTCTAGCTCCATCCTCCCACAGCAGAGCTGCAGAGTGTGAGCAGCAGCGGAGGTGCTGTGCCGCGTGCTGGCTGTTGTCCCCTCGATAGTCGTACTTCTGCAGCCATACTGCCAGGGGTTCCTCCGCCGGCTGCCTCTTTGGGTGCGGGAGGGGTGTTGCAGGGGAGAGTGTGGGTGAGTTAATGCTAGTGCTGGACATTTCTTCCCCACAGCTTGGGGTGGAGGTGAGGATTGCAGGCATCTTCCAGAGCACACACTCCTCACCCGCAGAGCCCTATGCATTTACGTGTTTTTTCTTTCCTTGTTCGGTGACATAGTCCAGCTCTGTATCATGGGTCTGGAGGGAGCCGGTAGCCAAGGCAATTTTTCCGTGGTAGTTCTTTGGCATTTTATTTTTCACTAGGAGATTGGCCTGTCTCTGCATAATCTAAGAACAGAAAGTCAAGTACTTCCATTAGTGAGCGGTCCTGATGTCTTGATGTGGAAGGACTTTTTTTGCAACTGATATAAAAATTACTTCTTCCCTCCGTTCTGTTAATTCAACATAGATAAAATGATAATGTAATAAGTGCCTCTCCCGATTTAGTGCCGTCTCACAGACTCATTGTGTTGGTCCATGGTTCTACAAAATCTGTTTATCCGCTTTACCATGATGGTCATAAAGAAGAAAAAGTAGGTTTATAATTAGCCTTTATAACACATATCCATCCTTGATGAATGGGTGAGTGGAATTTAAAGGTGAGCAGACTTACTGCATGCACAGAGGCTGGTTACTTATGCTCAGTTCCCAGCTCTGCCACTGATTTGACATCTGTTCTTGGGCAAGTCGCTGCACCGCTCTATGCCACAGTTTCCTCATTAGTGAAATGAGTTTAATGATATTTATCACTCTCTCAGATCTATGGTTGAAAAGCAATAAATAAGTGCTATGTTGTTACTAGCTAAAAATCCTGGGAGCCGTTGTGTCAGAGAAATGGATACATTGCTTTGTTTGCTTCTCTTAGGAAGTAATATGAAAAAATTTCAAAAGATGATTAATTTCTATTAAATCTCTTTCTTCGCTATTTAGGTTCGAGATGCAGCAATAAACAGCCTCGTGGAAATTTACAGACATGTAGGTGAACGTGTAAGGGCAGATCTCAGTAAAAAAGGATTACCACAGTCTCGGTGAGTTAAGAATATCCAATCTCTGTCTTTCTTGGTTTCTTTTAATTATTGTTGCATTGAGGGACTATGCCTGCAAGTCTTTTTGTGGAATTGGGCCCTTAGGTTGCCATCCTGCAAACACTTTGCACGCTCTTAACTTGACTCAGAGTACAAAGTTTCTCTGGTCCGGCTGGATCAGTATCCGCCTGCAGGGGTGTGTGTGTGAGGATGGGGGGAGCATTCCTGTCCAGCAGTGGGGGGAGGAGGATACTCCAGCTGGGGTGTAGCAGCTTTTCTGCTTACCCTTCCCCCCCTTTAATCAGTTAATTAGTTAGCCATTACATGGGAGTCTACATCCCTACTGTAGACATACCCAGAGATAAGCTTTGCACAGGTTTCTTTTTTTTCAGGCCTGGGATGCTAACTCAGTGTGTCACTGCTAAATACAAGGTGGAACAGATGGTTGCACAGAAATAGTTAATATTTCAAGGGATCATTAAAAGTTATGTGTCCTGCAAACACCCCTCTAGTCATAGAGAAGAAAGAAAGGGGGAAGGCAGCTGGGGGAAGTTTGTTAGTGGGTTACAGATTGTTGTAATAAGCCATCAATCCCGTTTCTCTATTCAGTCCATGATTTTAGTGTCTAGCACAGTTATACAATTCAGCTCCCAGGCTTGTCTTTTGGAAGTGTCATGCAGGTTTTCTGTGAGGAGAGTCCGATGAAGAGTAATCGCTCAGTGAGAAGTGTTCACCCACAGGTGCTGGGTGGTTTTGTCTGTTATCATTTTCCTCTGTGAGTTCATTTGTGAACATAGTGATTGGTTTCATCCATATAGTTGATAGTGGGGCATTTAGGGCACCTGGAGCATCTCTCTCCTAGGAAATTACTTCGAAATAATAACTCCCAAAATAACTATTTTGAAATAGCGTGGCCACACTACAGGGAAGCCTCGAAATTAGTCTGTGGCAGGCTCCCTTAATGTGGACGCACTACCTCGACTTAGAGCCCCAGGGAGCATTGAGGAATAATTACTTTGAATGATTCTGGAGAGTAGCTATTTTGAAATAGCAGCAGCGGAGTGTCGAAATTACTTTATTTCGTTACTTTATTACGTTATTTCGAAATAACGTTATTCCTCACGGAAAGCGGGAGTTGTTATTTCGAAATAACAGGCTTGGTAGTGTTATTTTGAAATAAGGGGAGTTATAGGTGTAGACCAGGGCTAGGTGAGGCCCATCACATTTTGTGATAGGCATGTGTAGGACCAGTGGATCTTGAAATGCATTTTGAGAGGCGTGTTGATCATTGAAGCAATGGAGATCAGTTTGTTTCCTCTAATTTTTCTCAGACCTGAGCAGAATGAGTTTTGTTACGTGCACTAATCTGGAGGTGATGTGTGATGCATCACTTTCATATTGGTGCACATAACAAAATGTGTGTGGTCTGGGTAGGGGTTGGGGCAGAGGCTTGAGATGCAGGGGGTGAGAGCTCCAGCTGGGGCTGAGGCCTGGGGTGCGGGTTCTAAGATGGGGGCAGGGATGAGGGGGTCAGGACTGGGGCAGATGTCTGGGTGTGTGTGTGGGGGGAGGGGAGGTGAAGACTCCGCTGGGGATGTGAGCTCTGCAGTGTGGCTGGTGATGAGGTGTTTGGGGTGCAGGCTTCCCTGGGGCTGCAACAGGGAGAGAGGACTCCCCCCTAGCTCTGTCCCCCCACAGCAGCACTTGGGCTGGGGGGAAGAGGTGCCGTTACTATAGCTGTGGCAGGGCCGGGCCAGGCTGGATTGGGGCTATGGGAGAGACCCCTCTCCCCTGTCTTTGGCAGGACCATGGATGGGCTGGGTTGAGATGGGGTGGCCTGTTCCATGATGAGGTCTACTTCTGTGGCAGAGAGTCCTTGTTAGGTGAAGGTGGTTTTGAGTGTGTTCAGGCTTATATCCTGGACTGTCTCCCTGGAGCCTATTCTGCAATATTTGATTGCCTGGCTGCATGGAACAGATTTCCTGGTGTGTTTGGGCAGTGAAGGAAGGTGGGAGGGATCCATGGATTGCTTGTAACTCAGATCATAATAGGTTGATGTTGGAACATTCTGCTTTGTCACTTCCTCTTGGACTTCATAGGTTGTGCATGCATATGAAATATATTAGGAACACAAAGGGCAATGGTAGAAGTCCATTGTTACATGGAAAAATGGAATTCTCAGGAATCCTGTACAAAAGGCAGACGTCTTCAATAAGGTGTAAACTTTCAGCAGCGAGAATAACTAAGCATGGGAACAGTTTATTAAGGGGCCGCGGTGGATTCTCTATCGCTGACTGTTTTTTAAATCAAGGTTGGGTGTTTCAGGTCTGCTCCAGGAGTTATTCTGAGGAAATTTTATAGTCTGGAGCTCAGACAAGGAGGATCATTGATGGCCCTTTGAATCTAGGACTATAGAGCCGCCAGTTCAGGCTGGTAAATGACCGCACCGTTAAAAGGACGTGGGCTGCGGGGTGGCCAGGCATCTGGTTTTGAAGCTGAGTGCCTGATCGAAAAAGGATCCTAGCGGCTCTGGTGAGCACAGCAGACCAAGCAGCTAAACGTCTGGTTGGCCTCAGCAGTTGGGTTTGCGTGGCTCCCAGAAGTGGCCAATGTGTCTCTCCGGCTACTGGGGGGAAGGGCCAGGTTGGGGGCTCTGCGCACTGCTTGAGCCTGCCGTGCTGGCATCACCTTGAGAGTCAGCTTTGCAGCTTCCGTTGGCCAAGAACCACGGCCAGTGGAAGCAGCGTTGGGACTTGAGGTAAGTGCTGCCTGGAGTACACACCCCAGTCTCTTGCCCTGAGTCTCTCCCAGAGCCTTCACCCCCTCCCAATGCAATCCCCCGCCTCGAAACCCCTCCCACACTCCGAACCCCTCAACCTTATCTCCCAATCTGGAGCCTTCTCCTACACCCCAACCCCGTCATGCCTGTCGCCACCCCAAAGCCCACACTCCTAGCTGGAGCCCTCACCTCCTCCTGCACTCCAACTCATGTCCCCTCCTAATTTTTTCCATCCATGCATGGAATACATTTTGTTATGTGCACCAAGGCATATGTGGATGTGCACCACCAGTAGAAACAACTGCTGACAGTTGTGGGTGCTCTGCTAACCCACTGGGCGGCATTTGAATCTCTCCTGGGTGACCACCCATGCACCCAGCTTACAGGGAATAGGGTCTCCAGTCACCAGCCCCCGCCTGGTAAAAAAATGAATAAGTGATGATGGGGGACAACAAGTGAGAGAGAGGGGATGATGGAGTAAATAGGGGAGAGGCCTTGGAGAAGGGGTGGGACTGGGATAGGGCATCAGGGAAGGGGGGGACAGGAGAGAGGCAAAGGTGTTCAGTTTTCTGATGTCAGAAAGCTGGCAGTCCTAATAGGCAGGAGAAATATCACATATTCAGCATTTCCGGCCCAAGCATTAAAAATGTCAAATTCCCCCACTCCAAATGCAGACAATTAAGAGATTTAAATAAAAATTACACATTTTGGGCCCTTTATATTTACCTCCTGGCTACGGATGTAATAGTGTAGTCAATTAACCGATTAACTGATAAGCTAAACCTTATAGGTTGATGTTATAGACTACACACATTTCCCCCGCCCCTTGCCAGTACACTTTTTTAGCAGGCTGTCCAGCAGTCGGGCTCAGTCCTGGCTCCTGCCAGGTCCAGCACCTACCCCGGCTGTGGCTCTGCATTTAAAGTGTATTAGGATCTGGGCAGGCAGGCAGCCCGGTTCAGCTGTGGCTTGTGCTGGATCCGGGAGCTCAGACCCTCACTAGACAGGGGCTGCTGCCACCCTGTGCTGCTGTCTCTTTATCAGAGCAGCACAGGGCAGCAGGTCCATGAGGGGAGCTGGTTTTTAAAAAGGCTCCCCTCATGGACCAGCTCCCACCTAGCACCCTGCGCTGCTGCCTCTAATACCAAGGCAGCAGTGTGGAATGGCAGCGGTTCTTGGGAGTAAGGCCGGAGCGCACTGGCTGCCGGCCCCACTCCTGGGGACTATAGAATAGTCGACTAACTGTTAAGAATTCATGAGGTTACTCGACTAGTCAATTAACCGACAGGCGTTCAAACCTCTCAGGTACAACTGGGCTGTAGTGTCAAGATTTTTCTATACAGCCATAAGGGCTAGAAACTTACTACTTTTTTAAATGAAAGCTGAGATTCTTGAGTAAAAATGTCCAATAGGGCTAAATGCAGAATATATGCACTTCTCCCATTCTGGGTGCTCAGCAGCATAGAGGATCAGGCTCTGGGTTCGATAAGTGGAACATAGGGTCCCATAGCTCAGACCAGGCAGTAAAACTGCTTAGAGAGGAGATGATTGCAGGAAATATTTGAGAAGGAAATGGATCATAAGGAAGCCTATGAAAGAGGAAACAGAATGTGTGCGTGGGGGTGTGTGTATGTGCACACGAGAGTGGTATAGGGGAAGCAGGAAGTGGACGTAAGCTTTGGGGCAGCATAATAAGTCAGAGCTCGGTGGGAATGGAGAAGACAGAGGAAGTGATTACCAGACAGCAGACATGGTGGAATGAGAAGATAGGTACGTGGCAGTGAAAACAAACGTAGGCAGAATCTTAACGGGGAGGATGAGCTGATACAATCCAACTGACAGAGACCCACAGACAGGTAGGTTTGAGCCAAAGTCTGCTCTTTCCTGGTTCTGTAAATCGCTTAGTGTCTGAAATCATCATCAGTGAAACCTAAGTACCTTCTAGTCACTGCCAAATATGGAATAATTACCAGCAAAGATTGTGGGGAAGTGTATTCAGATCTGATAAATATTGCTGTTGTGCTCTAGCTCCTGGCAAAAGGCCAGTGTGGCCGTAGTTGTCATAGGGGCTGTTTTCCCCGGCCTTTCAAGGGCAGGCTGTCACGGGACTCAGTACGTTATTCGAATGCTCATTGATAGACACACTAACTATAACAGCATGCGCAGTCTAAAACTCCAGAACAAGGGACTTTTTGCACCCCTCAGGGATCAGTATGGTTTATATTATTGTGTCTCAACCTCGCAGCCTCAACTTCCATGTCTGTGAAATGGGTTAATACAAGCTGTAATGTATTGTTCTGCACTTTGCTTTCAATCTTACAACCAGTGTGTGTTATGTGTAATAAATATTTGGTTTAGTGAGAAGTTTTGTGGGTTTGCATGGCAGGATGCTTTAGATGTTAAAAGTCAATTTGTGTCAGTTAGCTGCACATAGGGTGATATGGAGCTCCATCGCATCAGTGGGAGCTTGGCAACAAATTGTAGTACCAAGGTCTTGTGAAGTTTTGTGGGTTTGCATGGCAGGATGCTTTAGATGTTAAAAGTCAATTTGTGTCAGTTAGCTGCACATAGGGTGATATGGAGCTCCATCGCATCAGTGGGAGCTTGGCAACAAATTGTAGTACCAAGGTCTTGTGTGGTTGGGGGGGGGGGGGGGGGGGGGGGGCGGGTGCGGGGGCGGGGGGGGGGGGGGCAGCGGGCGTGGGGAGGCACTTTTCCTCTGCCCGGCAGCTCTGCGGGATCC